TCTGTACCTCACCAACTCTCTTAGGCCAGTGAGAAAAAAAAAGAGAGAGAGAGAGAGAGAGAACGAAGAAAATGAAAAACGTACCATGCGTGTATGCCAAAAATCCCAAGAGGGATTGTGGCATGGCCATGCCCCCTGAGGGGTGCTTTCTCATCTCTCTCTCTCTCTCTCTCTCGTCTCTCTACAGCGTGGGCACCTGCCTTGTAGCAAAAATTAAATAAATAAACAAATACATATTTAAAAAGATACCAGAGCATCTCCTCTAGTTGAGCACGACAGTCCCCACCCTCTCTGAGAGCACCCAGATTCTAATGCACAAATCTAAGTGCTAAGTGCCTGGGGTCCCTTGGGAGCGTGGGAGCGAGTGTTCCCAGAAGTGTGAGTGTGTGCGGGGGGGACAGCGGCCCCGCCCAGAGCTGGAAGCCCTCAGGGAGTCCCCTGCCTGCTCACTGCAGGAGGAAACAGCTCAGATTCACGTTTCTTCATTTCTTTCTTTGTTTTTGTTTTTTTAGAGAGGGATTTTTATTACAGAACGTATGTGCTCATCAGAGACAGAGACAGAGAGACAGAAAGCGAGAAATCACCCCCCAGGGGGGATGGTCACGCCGCAATCCCTTCTCCTCCATTCTCCTCTCGGGATCTTGGGCACGCACGCACACACGCCCGGCATGTTTTAGCTCACCAGGTCCGGGACTTGAACCATGGTCGACTACATGGGAATCCAGCAATGTAACCATTATGCCATTGCTGGTCCCTAAATAATTCTTTTTTTAAATTTTTAAATAATTATTTTATTTAACTTTATTTATTTATTTTAATTTGACCGGAAAAGGACAGAGTAACTGAGAGAGAGAGAGAAAGTGAGAAAGCAAACAGCCAGGTCCGGGACTCGAACTGTGGTTGGCCATGTGGGAGTCTGGCACCTTTAACCACCATGCCACCTGCTGGCCTATCTCCTAAATAATTCTTTTTTTTTTTTTTTGAGAGTTTTTTGCTATAGGGTGCATGCACTCGCTCGAGGGACAGG